CCCAGATGGAGGCCTGTGTCCATTAACTCTTCTCTAAGGCCCTTGGACCTGGACCCCTTGGGGTAAACAGAGTGGGATGCCCAGTCACAAGGTACCTGTCAAGATACCAGGTGTCCCGCTGCTCCTTACCAGGTTAATCCCCCATTTTCAGCCTTTCTCACAGATTTTACACTCTAAGCCTTGACTAGAACATAAAATGAAAATGGAAGGCATACTTGTTTTAAATTAAAACTGTACCATAACTTAGTTGTTGCTGAGTTTGAAAGAAGGAGCTATGAGTGGATAACCCCTTGAACACCAGAAAGAAAGGGATTCAGTTTAAGAAGCTCGAACAGAGCTGGTGTAGAAGGGTAGGTGTAGAAACCAGACAGTGTTAAAGTCCTTGCCCCTGATTTTTATCCCATTCTAGCTCACTCTCCTTCACTTCTCCTCCTCTCTGGGGTGTGGACTGAGGACGAGGCTGCAGGTCAAAGGCACAGGCTGGACAATGACAGAACCTCCTGGGACTGGGTGCTTCAGTGGGCTGTGTCCTCGCCCCAGGCTCTGAGTTCGTCCTGGCCATCAGTGACCCTGAGACTGGAGGCCCTTGTCTCTTCCCGCCTCTGTTGAGTCCAATGTCATTTCGGGATGAGACACTCTGCTCTCCCAAGGTTTTCACCAGTTTCTCTTGTGTGGACTCTCAGCAGCTCTCTCCAGACTCAGAGTTTCTGGGAGAGAATTAGGTATTTTTTTCTCTTCATCACCATTTCTCCATGAGATTTTTAGTCTGTGGGTGCAAGTAGGACAATCTCCATCTTGTTTAGGAATGTGGCGTGCTGGGCTGAACACCCAGGCTAGGCGGGCCACATGCCAGTCACAACGGGGGTTGGACATTGGTCCTAGTTCTGTTGACCAGCATCTGTGTGGACATGGGCGCTGTCTTGCTGACCGGTACCTGTGCGGACATCGGTGTTAGCCCTGCTGACCACACCTGTGTATCAGGGTGAACATCAGCCTGGGACCAGGTTGGAGCCACCCAGGGCTTCGACTCAGCCTTCTGAGAATTTGTTTTGTTTGTTGCAGATGGTAAATTTTTATTTTTGCTAATTTCTCTTCATCCTACCATCTTTGGGAGATAAATTCTGTGAACTATCTTCATCCCACCATCGTAACCCAGAAGTTTGTACACAAACATTTACATGTGGTAAAAAAGAAGATCCTCAGTTGCCCTTTGAGATTGATCATCTGAAATGCAAAGCCATTTTTAATGTTTGGCATTTGAGTGCTGCAGCCCATTTTAGTCAATGTATTTCCTTTCAGATAATTTATTCCATTAAATTTTTAAATTTAATCTAAGTATCCTCCCTGCTGACATAGCCACAGAAGTTGAAAAACTTTGTTCTAACTATTCTGTGGTATGAAAAGACATTATTGAGCCACTAAAGTAAGTTCTTTCATTTTGTCTGCAGCAACTAGAACAGCTGTCTGGGAAATCATAGCCGCCCAAGACACATTAATATTTAAGGTGCACACAGCAGTAAACAACCCCAAGAAAGAAAACAGACCTGTAGACTGATGATTTCATTAATTTCTCTTCCATTTGGCACTGCTACATCTAAACCATCTCAGACAAAGGAGGATCAATCTTATTTTCAAAGATCCCCAGACAACAGCGTTTTAC